GGAAAAAACCCCCCCCTAATTCCCCCCCCCCCCAAAAAAAAACCAACAACACAAAAGTCTCCTTTTAAAGAAACTACCTCTACCAATTACTGTAAGCTAACCTAGAAAAAAAACAACGTCCTATAGATGTGAAGTAGAATTTGTTTTCTGGTACAAACAGCTAAACACTTGATTAAAAAATTAATTATAATATCAAAACTACTTCATTGTGGTTCTCAGTGGTATGTATCTATCACAGATATCAGACAATGTAGGTAAAAAAAGTAATCATCATAGAACAACCACAGATCAAGTTCATGCCCTCTCTCTACAATGGTGCCACATAAAGCTGCGATATGATCCAACCCTAACATGGGAAAAAAAGATTAACCGATTGCACCCAAGTTACGAGTATATTCGGAGCTGCTGTGCGCTTCTGTAGTACTATACAATTTATAAGCACCAGAATTTGCCTCATGTTTTAGTTTTAGTAGAGGTTTTACGACGCTCGCAACTGCATAAGGTCAGACGAGCGCCAGAAGATTAGAGGTGTTAGGAGAATGAGTAACAAACATGAAAAAGACGAAGGGGAGATAAGGACCATAGACGTTTCATAGGAAAGAAGAAGCAAACCTTACCAGGGCACCCGCCAATCACCTACAAATTTGCCTCAGATGGTAGTGCATGTATAATACTTTTTCACAAAAGTTGTCAAAACGCTGGGAATACAATCATCACAGGCAAACACCCCCGAAAGAAATAAGACTTAAAAAATGAAACCCACAGAGAATTGGGACCCCGCCCCCCCCAACTCAAGTCTCCTTTTAAAGAAACTACCTCTACCAATTACTGCAAGCTAACCTAGAATAAAACACATGTTTCGTAGCTGCTGTGAGCTTCTGTCGATCGAGCTTGTGCAAGCTAACCTAGAATAAAACACGTTTCAAAAAAATTTTTTAAAAATAAAATAACGTCCTATAGATGTGAAGTAGAATTTGTTTTCTGGTACAAACAGCTTAACACTTGATTGAAAAATTAATTATAATATCAAAACTACTTCATTGTGGTTCTCCTCAGTGGTATGTATCTATCACAGATATCAGACAATGTAGGTAAAAAAAATAATCATCATAGAACAACCACAGATCAAGTTCATGCCCTCTCTCTACAATGGTGCGACATAAAGCTGCGATATGATCCAACCCTAACCTGGGAAAAAAAGATTAACCGATTGCACCCAAGCTACGAGTATATTCGTAGCTGCTGTGCGCTTCTGTAGTACTGTACAATTTATAAGCACCAGAATTTGCCCCATGTTTTAGTTTTAGTAGAGGTTTTACGACGCCCGCAACTGCATACGGTCAGACAAGCGCCAGAAGATTAGAGGTGTTACAAGAGAATGAGTAACAAACATGAAAAAGACGAAGGGGAGATAAAGACCATAGACGTTTCATAGGAAAGAAGAAGCAAACCTCACCAGGGCACCCGCCAATCACCTACGAATTTGCCTCAGATGGTAGTGCATGTATAATACTTTTTCACAAAAGTTGTCAAAACGCTGGGAATACAATCATCACAGGCAAACACCCCCGAAAGAAATAAGACTTAAAAAATGAAACCCACAGAGAATTGGGACCCCGCCCCCCCCAACTCAAGTCTCCTTTCAAAGAAACTATCTACCTCTACCAATTACTGTAAGCTAACCTAGAATAAAACCCATGTTTCGTAGCTGCTGTGAGCTTCTGTCGATCGAGCTTGTGCCAGTCGTAGTACAGTGCCAGTCGTAGTACAATACCAGTCCTCAAAAATCGAGCCCAAACCACTTGTCCAGGTTTCTATTGAAAATAATAGGTCGCTTGTAAAAACATTTGTAAGCTTGTCCTGATCCAGTTTTTCGCGAAGTACGAGTTAGTTTTGCTGTTTTGTCACTGCAAACCAAGGCAAGAAAACGAGCACCGAAATCTTCATGGAAGAGAAGAATAACACAACCCCCTCCCCCCCCCCAACAACAGTGCCACGGCTATTTTTGTGTTTTTTAAAATACATGAACCATGTTTTTAGTTTCGTTTTAGGCATAAACAGCAAAGAAAGTGAAAGTAGACGTAAATCTAGAAAAACATGACGATCGGATTGATTTTAGTGCCTTGAAAACTTCCAAGAAGAGCTAGATTTAGACCACAGATTTAATATACAAGTTCCTATGGCTAAATCGAGTGCCGATGAGTTGCAGTCGGACGAAGAATATTATTGTTAATATATATTGTTTACTCTGCTCTTTCCTACCTCTTTCTCTCTAATAAAATTAAAAGAACATTTTAAGTAAAATCTAAGCGAAATCTCATATTGATATCCTAATAGGTTGGGCACAATGCGTGTCTAAGGTTAGTGCGTCGAGTTCAGACCGATTTTTTCCCATGGCTTGCAGCAAGCCAGGTGGACACAAGTGCACTGCCGCAGCAACGCAAGGTGAATTGGGATAATCTAATTTAAACGTAATTTACACAAGGCAAAAGTATCCATTCCTTCTCACAGATTTAATATTAACACAAAGGTCATGAAACATACCAGGGATTTTAATTTTTAGTTTCAGGGAATTTGCAACACAATAAGGTCATATAAGTGCCAAGATAAGAGAGCAACATACAAAGAAAGGGAGGAGAAATAAGGATGAAGATATTTGATAGGAAAAAAAAAGGAACAAACCACTGCATAGCACAAGCTAACCATCAACAGAGAATTTGTATAAAACAATATATTGGCCAACACACACACAAAAAAAAGAAGGACCGAACTTCAAATTTAAGAAAATTTCTTTGCAAAATATTAAATCTCATTTTCAAGGGCTACAAAGAAGATTACCAGATGGCATATATTTGAGTCATTTGCCTCAGATGGTAGTGCATGTATGATACTTTTTCACAAAGTTGTCAAAACGCTGGGAATACAATCATCACAGGCAACACCCCCCTTCCTTCCTCCTCCAACCACCTGCATTGCTATTAAACGGTTGACCTTTCTCTATATAAATGCATTCTTAATTAGATGAGGACCTTCATTAGTGGCACAAGCAGAAAAAGTCTCCTTGCTTTTGGAAAAGATGAAAACATTTGAATATCCACCCTAGTATACAAACAATTTAAAATGAGCAAAGGGTAGGAACCAATTACAGTAGTTTTCAAACAACACATAACAAAAGCTGCCAGGAATGGGATAATTTACCCCCCCCCAAAGATCAATCCAATTTTCAATGTCAGCATTTCAAGTGAAATATATTATATATACTACAGACATAATGTACAAATCAGCAAATTCTCTCCCCACTTAACAGGCGCCCTAGTAATTTGCCTCAGATGGTAGTGCATGTATGATACTTTTTCACAAAGTTGTCAAAACGCTGGGAATACAATCATCACAGGCACCATGCGAATTGGTCTTCCCATTGGCTGTCTCTTTTATAACAGTGCAACCCAAGTTGCTCAAAACAAGCCCCCCTTTTGTCTCTACAATTAGAGACAGACCCTTAAAATGGAATAGATTCAGAATTGGGTTACTTGTAAGAAAGTAATGATGGTATTAATCTGATGTTTTGTTCATTGATTTTAACCTCCCAAACTTAAATACAGATTTTATCTTATAGACATATTAGCTGAAAACTACTAGTAACTTTCCATTAATAAATCCACAAAATATTTTAGTTTTAGTAAGAGTTTAAAAAAAATAAAAATAGTAGAGGGTTTTACAGCGCTCGCAACTGCATAAGGTCATATGAGCGCCAACAGAGAAGTCTTTACAGGGAATCAGACTTACACTGCTCACCTCTCTAGCTTCAACAGCACAAGGTCTGCTTCGACTATAAAGGCACCCCGGAAATAGCAGGTCACAAGAGTGACAAACATACAAAAGTAGAGGAAATGACAATAGTAAGGATCAGGAAAGATAAAGCAGCAGTTCCCTGTTGTAGATCAGGCACAGTTATGAGCGTGACATGAGTT